GACGATGAAACAAGGTGGCCTAGGAATTCTACCGTTGATTTGCCGAGTTCGCACTTAGTCGGGTTGACTGTTACATCGTGTTGGGCCAAGCGCTGGAAGAGAGTTCGAAGAGGCTCGAGGGTCTATTGGTCCGATGAACTGGCTACTAAAATATCATCAAGGTAGGAATATGCGAAGTCAAGGCCACGAGGAACATCGTGGATGAAGCGTTGGAAGGTTTGTGCGGCATTGCACAGTCCAAATGGCATTCTTAAAAATTCAAACAAACCGAATGGAGTGATGACGGCTGTTTTAGGAATGTCATTGTCTTCCACAGGTATCTGGTGATAGGCTTGAACCAGATCGATCTTGCTGAAGATCATCTTACCTGTGAGGCATGCGGTAAGGTCCTGCATGTGTGGGATGGGATACCTATCTGGGACAGTTGGGCGATTGAGTGCGCGGCAAGCACCGCAAGGGCGCCAGTCACCAGATTTCTTCGGGACCATCTGCAGGGGCGAGGACCAAGGGCTGTCGGAAGGGTGGATTATTCCAAGTTCAAACACGTGCTCAAACTCCGCCCTAGCTACCTTTAGTTTCTCGGGCGATAGTCGGCGTGGACGGCATGACACAGGTGGGTCGTTCGTCCGTATGTGGTGCGTGACTTGAGCTGCCCCGGGTAAAGCTGCATTCATTGGCTGAACGAGGTTAGGATCCTGAGAAAAGAGATTAGGGCGGTCTGGCGAGGTCTGAGGAAATGCATAGACCGAGGATATAGATGTGACGTCGGCGGTGATGCCACGTACGCTGAGTTTTGTTGCAGTGTCCACTATCAGCTGGCGTTTCGCATCGACCAAGAACTCGAAATGCCTGAGAAAGTCAATGCCGATGATGGCAAAGGGGACTGCAGTGACGGTGAATACTCAGCGGAACGTGCGCCGATGACCTAGGTCCAGGGTAAGTGACCGCTGATCATAGGTGGCTATTGGCGTGCCATCGGCGGCACTGAGACTTGTCGCCAGAAAAGTGGTAGGCTCACCAGGCATAAGGGGAATGCCGCTGACTTCCTCCCCAGTAACAACTAAGAACTGGGTATCGGAGTCATAATCCGTAAGGTTGATGAGACGACTTTGAGCTTTGCCGACGTTCGTGGTCATTACAGCCCGGCGTGGCGGATCATGTATAGCAGAGTACCTACACGGCTGTACGCACTTACGGGCTTTAGTACCGAAACGCGAGTGATAAAAGCAGTAACCTGTGGCATCAAGTTTTGTGCGACGGGGCGATGATCCGGAGCGGTTGCAGTGCATACGGTTTAAAGTGAGTTCCTCGACCTTGCGCTGAAGCGGCGCTATCTGCAATGATAATGCGTCTATTGCTGAGGGCGGGTTAGTCGCGTCTGTTGTGGTTGCGCCAGCGCAAAACTGCTTAGGTGCTTTGGTTTCAGTATCTGGCTGGTGCCTTTCGATGACGCGGTCTGCTAGATCTGCAATTGCTGTGATGGGCAAGTCACTTGCCACTGCAAGGCTAGCCTGTGTGCTTTCCGGAAGGACTTGCATCCACAGCTCGCGGAGAATCCCTACGTCCATGTTGGACGTGCCGATGAGCTGTTGCATTTCGCGCAACAAGGCTGAGGGCATCCTATCTCCTAGCTGCAGATCACTAAATAGTTGCTGCAGACGGAGCTTGTCAGAAGGCGTGATTCGCTGAATAATAGCCTGTTTAAGAGTCTGGTATTTCATTACAAGAGGGAGGCAAAGTATGATGTCCCTCACCTGCGAGGATATACTCTGAGGAAGGCAAGATATTAGCTGATTATACATGGCGAAATCAGAAGAAATCTTACGAATATAAAATACGGATTCTAGGTGCAAAAACCATAATAAAGGATAATTCTCCCAAAAAGGGGGAGGGGCTAAGGCAACAGAGTTGACCATGACAGGCTGAACGGCGTCAGCCGGGCATGGAGACGGCGTATCCTCTAGATAATCTGTTGCAAAAGCACATAAAATATGTGGTAGGTGAGAAAACAATATGATCAAGAGTAATGAATCACAAAATCACTGGAACGAGCTCACCAGAATGAAAATGCAACATGGCGGGCGGCGTGTTTCTGAAAGGGGGTCACCAATTGTTGGGCGGAGCCTGAGATACTAGTCGGTAAGCAATGACATGTACTACATGGCAAATACGACAGTATAGAAGTCGGAGGAGACTGAACCCAATGTATATTGTGCAGGCTACAAGAGTCGGAAGCGAATCAAACAGAGCGGGAAACGTGTAGCGTGGTACTCACCAAAACGGTTTGTGTCAACATACGTGCAGTCAGTAAAACAAATAGACCATTTTAAGGTTAAAACAACCGTAAAATCCAAGGTTACAAAATACTGAAAGAGCTTGTTTTCCGGTACACTACAAAGTTGCACAAACAGCGTCCTGACCGGGTATGGACGGAAACTCGGTTGTCGCGTCGAGTTATTATATGTTGGAACTCGCTTCCGGCGCACGTGGTTAGGGAGTCTACCGTAGAGGGTTTCGAGCGTCAGTTAGATGCTCTTGAGTGGCAGTACTAAACCCTCTCCTAACCGGCTTATATCTTCAACTTGTAGCAGTCTGGATATCCCCCGGTTTGCCTGCGTAAAATTCTAACTAAAATTATTTCATTGTACACTTAGGCAACCGGTGTGGTTTGCTGAACTGATTGCTGAGTTCGAATGCTTGACTTGCTTATCACCATTTTTGCTTAGTGCTCGTTTCGGTCGCAACTCGCGACTGCCGTGTGTGCTGTGCATGCTCCATTCCCCTAGCTAAAGCGTCCATGGTGTCGTTCCTTTATAGCTAGATAACAGGGAATCAATTACTGTACCAATAAAAGTTTCCCTACAACTCGATCTGTCTTCTCGAATCGCTCTCTGGGCTCCCGGTACAGGCAACCCTCTAAATTGGTGACCCCCGAATCCTGAACAATCTGCGTGCCGGATATTTAAAACGTTTCTTCCGTGAGCTCGTTCTATTTATTTTTTATATTTTTCAGTTTTTTTTACATACGGTAGCCTATACTTGCATCATTTTTTAGCCGTGTACTCTGCAGAACGTAAAGTAAAGCCCCTAAGCGTTGTACCACTCTCCGTGCCACCTTTTTGGGACATGGATCCTCTTTTGTGGTACACTCTTCTTGAGGCCAAATTTTACACCCACGGAATCACTTCCGACTACGCAAAGTATAGCAAGCTACTGTCCTATCTTCCCAAAGTGACATCAATGCAGGTTCGTGATGTCATCATTTCTCAGACCGAAAACCGCTATGAGCCTCTCAAGAAGGCCAAGATTAAGCGTGTTATGCCCTCTGTAAAAGTTAGCCTTAAGCAGCTTTTCAGGGAGCTGCAGCTGCGCGACAAACTGCCCTCAACCCTGCTACGAGAGATGCACCAACTCCATGGTTCCTCAACCGTGGACGAGACATTACTTCGCGAAATATGTCTATAACGCCTACCGGAAAACACGCAAGCCATTCTCGTGAGGGTGAGCTCCGTTTCGCTCACTCAAGTAGCAGATTTAGCGGAGCGAGTTATGGAGCGATCACAGTTACAAGCCAAATCCAGCAACTTCAATGCCGTCGCGTCCCAGGGCACTTCTATCACTGACTTACAGTCAACTATTGAAGCCCTGCAAACACAAGTTGCGACCCTTAGTCACCAGGTGCAACAGTCTAATATGAACCGTCGTCGACATAGCCGATCGAAATCGCCCTTCAAACGTTCTAAGTCTAACAACAGACAGGCTAGCTGTTGATATCGTCAGGGCTTTAGTATTGCAGCTAATATATGTGTAAAACCATGCAACTTCGCTGAGAAGCAGGAAAACTTCTCGGCCGGTCCGTAACGGCGACGGACGCGACCGGCCAACATTAAATTCACCTCCTCCGCGTTGGGGATTTAACTTCCGGCACCGAATTTCGGCAAAAAGCTGCTAACACTCAATGAAGTCTCCGGCGAACCTTTCGCTGGCCTTTCATAATCGCTGGCATTTCATAATAGACTTCGACATTTATGCCGAAGTTAGCGTTATACCCCGTAGCCCAGATGGGGTCGTCTCGCCAGCGCCGACCAAGCTGCGCGCGGCCAATTGCACACCAATCGCAACTTTCGGCGAAATGCTGCTAACACTCAATTCAGGCCTCCGGCGAACCTCTCGCTGGCCTTTCATAATCGCTGCCGTGCCTTTCGCTATCATAGGCATAGACTTTCTTCAACGCTTCGACCTCATCCTTGACACAAAAAGGAAGAAGCTTATAGACTCTAGGACACAGCTCAGTGTTCTCGGAACTAGCACCAACGTGGCTGCTATCACTCCCATTTGTGTCCTACCTCAAGCTTCACAACCTTTTCTAAAACTTTTCAACAAACATCCTAAACTCGTTCGCGTACTGAACGACTTGCCTCCTGTGACATCGAACGTCATACATCACATTTGCACCAAGGGCCCAGCTGTTTCGGCCCGCCCTCGTAGACTAGCCCCAGACAAGTTCAAAGCTGCTAGGGCGGAATTCGAGCGAATGCTCGAACTGGGACTCATCCGCCGGTCCAAAAGTCCATGGGTATCACCATTGCGCACGGTGCCGAAGAAATCCGGTGACTGGCGCCCCTGTGGTGACTACCGGGCACGTAACATAGTCACCGTCCCGGATAAATACCCCATACCGCACATGCACTACTTGACCTCAGCTCTAGCTGGCAAGTCCATTTTTAGCAAAATCCACCTAGTTCGCACTTACCATCGGATACCTGTCGCGCCAGACGACATATCTAAAAAAGCACTCATCACTCCATTCGGCCTATTCGAGTACCGTAGAATGCCTTTCGGCCTCACCAACGCTGCCCAAACATTTCAGCGTTTCATTCATGAGGTAACGCGAGGACTCGAAGGCGTTTATCCTAATCTAGATGACATTCTCAACACGAGCTCTTCTGACGAGGATCATCTCCATCATCTCGACGCTCGCTTTCAACACTTAACACAGCATGGAGATACCGTCAACCCCGATAACTGCGAATTTGCCCAAAAAGAAAAAGGGTGGGATATATAAAAAAAAAAAAGAAAAAAAAGGGGGGGGGGGGGGGGGAAAAGGGTTTGGGGGGGGGGGGGGGGGGGGGGGGTTTAAAAAGGGGGGGGGGGGGGGGGGGGGGGGGGGGGGGGGGGGGGGGGGGGGGGGGGGGGGATATTATTTTGGGGGGTTTTTTGGGGGGGGGGGGTTTTTTGGGGGGGGGGGGGGTATTTTTTTTTTTTTTTTTTGGTTTTT